CCAACACCATGTGGTCATTTTCCCACTCAGGGATGAGAAAACACTCAATACTCATTAGCTAAAATATAGTAATTGAACATTAAAATTTTTAAGGGTCTTTATTGTTAAAATATGCAAATGGATATTTTGTATCTTTGTGACAGGTTGTCAGACTAACCTCTTGGGATCTCCCAGTCCCCTTCTTATTTTCAAAGGGGTCTAGCCCTTGTGTTAATTCTCCATTTTCCTCCTGTTCAAGTCTATACCTTCACAAGAGAGCACGAAAAAGTGAACTCTGAAGCCTGTGGATCTGGGTTTAAATCTCAAAAAAAAAATTTCATTTTTTTCCCTAAGTATCACCTCTGTGTAATGTCTAGATTAGAAAAACCACCTCATTAATTAATTGAAAAGATTAAATAAGCCATTTAAAGCCCTAGGTACTTAGTGCAAAACTTAATAGCTATTTTCCGTTATTCCCCCTCATTGGCATCAGGACATAAATTAGTATTGGACATGTTTGAGGATACCGCTCCTCAAATACTTTGTGACTTGGTGCTTTGTACATGCATTTGAGATAAGTGTCAAACATCCGTGTAAAAGAGTGAGGGAGGAATACTTGCAGGCAAGTACTAGTAAGCCTTCTTGTTACTACTGTAAACCATTCCTACAAGCATGCAAAAAACTTTGTTTTCCACAGAAAATCCTAATTCTACTTATTTTCTTAATTCTCAGTTGCTATTGGTATTATTTCACTATATCTCAATTTCAATATATACTGTACAAATTATATGTATGAACACAATATTTGCCTGTCACCAATATGTGAAGTAAAAAGCAAATTATGCATGATATTCTGTTAAGAGGTTTATTGAAACTGTTATTTTATTCCTGTGGGGCAGCAATCAGAGTATTTTTTACACATGGCAAGGCAGGGGCATCCAGGGGATCAAATCAAATTTAATAATAATAATAAAAAAACTATTTTAAAGAGACTGAGAAAAAGCTCTCTTGGCTGCCTTAAAAGCTAAGGATTAGTAGCAATGTTCTGACCTGAAATTTAGGTCTTGTGATTTCTTTCCAGGAGATTTTTTTTTCAATGCATGAAAAACCTGTCTGAAATGGGTTTATTATTTAATTCATTCATACCTGGATATGGACAGTTAAAATCTGTGGAATTGTTGGAAGGCCTAGATTGCACAGAGGTATTTTTATTAATCATCTGGAAGCGAAAAATATCCTTTACCAAGTCACCAAACCTTTCTGCTATAATATGTTTAAGGTTCACTTTGCATTTATTTCAAATTTTGAAAATTTCAAGGACATGGAATTTAATCTCTGGAGCATAAGCCATGTTTAGGGGAAGATTCATGCATTTTCAAAAGGAGGCTAAGCTTTGTGCTCAGTGATGTATATTTTAGGAATTCTCCACTTGGCTTAATTATGATTGTGTCTTGATTGCCAGAAGAAGTGAGTCAGCCTTCACTTTGTACTGAGACCCCTTGGAGAAGAGTGGGAAGCTAAGGGGCCAGATAGGGTGCGGGTCAGCGCCAGAAACAGCCTTACCTAACGTGGCCAGAAGCGCTATCAGGCCGTGGCTTGCTGGCGGAAGCCCAGAGTGCTTTTCTTTTGCCAGAGATGTAAAGGAGCGGCTTGGAGAGAAAGCTAGGGGAAAAAAATAAATAAAAGGTACCTTGAGTCACCCACTTCTTCTAGTCCCATTACCGCCTCTCAGAGAATATTCAGAAGGTGAGAGGTCAGACCATTTCTATTGTCACCCTCGCTGAGACAGAGGTGGGGGGTGCGGGGGCGGGCAACTGGTGTCTACCCTTTCGGAGCGGGGTGGGGAGGCCCGGGTGGCCCGGGGATGTGCTTTGTTTAGCTTTGGGGCGGGCTCCCGGGTCCATGCAGCCC